CAAGGCACACTGTAGTCATTTTTACACATTGCGTTCCCGTGAGCTAGGGGATGAGGACTAACAAAAGATCTTATGAAAACCAGGTTAAAGGAGAAGGAAACTGATTATAGAACAAAAAACAACTACCAGAATTTTCGGACTATAGAGTGCACCTGAATATAAGCCGCACCCACTAACTTTAAAAAGAAAAACAAATTTGTACATATACAGGCCGCACTTGTCTATAAGCTGCAGGTGTCCACGTTGTAACATGAGATATTCACACTTAGTTTTTTTCAACTTTTAATGAAATACGTACCGGTAACATACACAAATACGTACCGTAAATGCTTTTTTCTGAACAGTGCCTGTAACACAGCTGGTTAAGAAAATAAAAAATACCATAGCCTACGAGGAAAAGTCATTGATCGCTACCTTCATCTTCCTCCTGCACACTAAAACCACTAAAATCATCGTCTTCAGTGTTGGAATTGAACAGTCTCAGAATTACTTCATCACACACTTCCTCAGTCTCTCTTTCATTGTCGCTCTCAATGTCACTTTCGTCTCGAGGCAAATTCGCCCTTGAGCTTGTGCTGTCCTCTTTATCAGGCAGTAGTCCAGCCAAACCCGTTGGTGATAGTGGATTTTTCGACACTGCTTTACGCTGTCAGGATCCAGCCCGTAAAAAATCCATAAATTAGCCGCATTATTGGTTAAGCCGCAGTGTTCAAAGTGTGTGAAAAAAGTAGCGGCTTATAGTCTGGTAATTACAGTATTTATTTACAATTAAAGCAAAAATAAGTCAACTGAAAGCGAGCTTCTTAATAAAAATGAAGCCAATCCAAAGCCTGCAAAACACTACACACGCTTGACTGAAGCAAGTCACAAAGACACGAAACAGCACACACAAACTTCCGATCTGGCACACTGGCAACAATGATCAGGCTGCCTGCCTTTTAAACTCCACCATAATTGCAGAGCGGCCACAGGTGCACTTGACCAGTCCTGCTGCTTCTCAGGGATTGTCACCTGAAAAGGGACAAAAAAAACACAGACAACCTGCAACACTGGGATCTTTCTGCGTGGAGTTTGCATGTTCTCCCCGTGCAGTGTGGGTTCTCTCTGGGTTCTCCGGCTTCCTCCCACAGTCCAAAAACATGTTGAGGTTAATTGGTGATTCTAAATTGTCCGTAGGTGTGAATGTGAGTGTGCTTGGTTGTCTGTCTCTACGTGTGGCCCTGCGATGGACTGGCGACCTGTCCAGGGTGTCCCCTGCCTTCGCCCTAAGTCGGCTGGGATAGACTCCAGCCCCCCCGCGACCCTAATGAGGATTAAGCGGTGTATAGATAATGATGGATGGATAAATTGTCCGTAGGTGTGAATGTGAGTGTGCTTGGTTGTCTGTCTCTAAGTGTAGCCCTGTGATAGACTGGTGACCTGTCCAGGGTGTCCCCTGCCTTCACCCTGAGTCAGCTGGGATAGACTCCAGCCCCCCCCATGACCCTAGAGAGGGTTAAGCAGTGTATAGATAATGGATGGATGGAGCCTGGTTATGCACATACAGACAGCACTGAGGGCTGTATGTATGTATGTATGCTAACACATGATACAATGCCCCTGAGATCTTTGTAAACTCTCTTTCTATCTTTCAAAGCAGTCATGAGATTGTAGTCATGTGAAAGTCTCATTTTCAGTCTGCGGGACATACAGCGGCACAAGCATTCATAGGATTTATTTCAGAATCAAGATCATTTCCTCTTTTTGTGCAGATATTGTGTCGATGCTTTTTGCCATGTGACCTTGTTGGTACACTGAAAACATGCTGGCAGTGCTTTTGATGTTATTCAATATTACATTTTAGGCCATTACATGTAGGTCTCTGCTGTGTTTTAATAGGAAATGTACGTTATTAGTATTTTAAAGTCATTCCTGACACATCATTTAAAAATACTAAATTATGTCACTTTTGAAGTGACATTTGTGATCTACATTGTTATGCATGATCTTAAAGAGCTCACATTGTGCACAATAACAGGTTTAGAATTGTGTTTTTAGTACTTACCAGAATGTGTTTACGTGCTTTAATGTTCAGAAAACACATTATTTTTCTCATCCTGAACATTGCTGCTGCTCCTCTTTAAGATACCAAAAGCTCTGATTGGTCAGCTGGACCGACAAAAGCGATCCAACATCTATTAAATACTACAGCTCCAGATGTATGAGTAGAGCTAGACGGACGTAGCCCTGGCAGAAGCAGCTCTAGTGAAAATAAACCGCAGAAATCACAGAAAAACCGACTGTAGATGTGATAGATTGTCTATTCTGTCTCGCAGGGTTGATGAAGATGAGGAAATCATCGTAAAAGCTATGACAGACTACTGGGTAGTCGGCAAGAAGTCAGACCAGAGAGAGCTGTACGTGATCCTGAATCAGAAGAACGCCAATCTGATCGAAGTCAACGGTAAGTCTCCACCAACCTGGCAATGAGTAACTTTATATTGTTCCCTCCAGAATAAACAAATCTACTTCATCTCCACTTGACCCTTAATGTACATTTTCTTCTTTTTCTACCGCAGAGGAAGTTAAGAGGCTTTGTGCGACGCAGTTCAACAACATATTCTTCTTGGACTGATGGAGCGTGCAGATAGAGACCACACTAAGAACTGTCAACATTGCAGGGTATCATGACAGCATCAGCGTAATGCAATAATTGCATTGTACAAATACACAGTAATAATAAAAAGCTTTCTCACCAAGTTTTTTTTTTTTTTTTTTTTTTAATTTAACCTAAAAAAAAATGTAATTTTCTGTCATAAATAATTGTAAAAATTCAGATTTTGACTGTACATGTACTTTACTTTCTTTCATTTTCTTTGTACATACTTGTAGAATTTTGTTAATTGATGAATTTGTCATAATTTTCCTCACGTTACGGTTTGTTGGTGCATTTTTTTTTTTTTTAAAGTGAACACATCATGAAATGTCTCAAATTAATTTAAAAAGAAAAAAACTGACGGACCCAGACCGGTTTACTCCAGTTTCATTTAATGACCATGTCAAAAGTATTATGGTTTGTACACAACTGCGCTAACTTTAAATAAATTAAGAGGTAATTTTACTTGGTGTACAGAATGTCTTTTTACAGTGAAATGTCTGTTTTAGTTTAAATACACAACAAAGACAAACACTGTTGGCTCATGTGTTGCTGAAATCTTTTGGATACGTTCTTAGAAGAGAACAGAAGAATGGAAACTTTTAACATTTAGCTCATTTAATACGTGGAAAATGATCAGGTGCGGCCAGTTTTCACCTCTGGCTGTTGTTTACTTGTGTTTTGCTTGTTTTTGTCAATGCTTTATGAAAAAAACATCTCATAGTAGTTGTTATTGCTGTGAGGGAGCACAACATCTCCAGCATCAATGTCAGTAATCTTGTGATATGTTTTTGAGCGGCAGACTACAGTTAATGCAATAACACTAGAAAACTAAATTAGTCTCTCATGCACCACACCACAGAGTTCTTAGCAGAATCTGAACTGCATCCCAGCCTGTTATAACTGTAGTTAGAAGAAGGGCTGCAAATAATGACTATTTTAGAGTCGATTAATCCGTAGATTATTTTCTTCGGTAAGTTGTTTGGCTGATAAAATGTCAGACAGAAATGTAGATCAGTGTTTCCCAAAGCCCAAGATGATATCCTCAAAGTCTTGTTTTGTCCATAACCTCGAGATATTCAGTTTGCTGTCATAGAGGAGGATCGAAACCAGGAAATATCCAAGTTTAAAAAGCTAGAACCAGAGAATTTGGGCTTTTTTTAATTATTTATTTTTTAGGAAAATGATTCAACAGATTTCAGAATCCTTTAATGTCATTATACCAAAAAAGTACAATGAAATTTGGTGCAATCTCATTCAGTGCAATGAACAACTATAAATTATAAATTAACAAACAAACTGCAAGATAAAAAGATGCTTGTAAATCCTAGAGATGTCTAAGAAAATAAGTGACAACAAATATAAAATGGATATACAAAGTGAGTATTTACAACAGCAGTGAGGAACAGAGGTACCTGAGAAATACTTGTGGTAGATTGCACCTGAGTACATGTGACATATTGCAAACTGAGAGAATACCTGGAAGTGGATTCACAGGAATGGTGGTGGGAATGGAACGTATCCGTGTTTGTGGAAGTTCAGTGGTTATGGCTCTGGGGGGAAAAAAAAATTATTTTAGTCCTTGGTTCTTGACTTGATGCATCTGTAGGGCCTACTCAATTATCAAAACAGTAGACAAGTAATTTGATAGCTGACAACTAAACTGATTAATCAACTATTTGATGCAGCTTTAGGTAAAAGTCTGACTTCTGACTAAATAATCAAATGTTTCCTACAATACTTACAAAAGCTGAGCAATTCAAATCAAAATATAAATGGTTCATGTTTAGCTTATATGGCAAATATTTCTGTCCTTACCCTGTACTGTGATAAATGTGTTTTGCTCAGTGTTACCTGGCTTAGATGTTACACTGTGCAGGATGATGTACTGTGTGTGCAAAGTACACTGGAATGTGTTTCCACTAGTTTTAATCTGCTCAAGAGGAAAGTTTGTGTGCTACCTTTAAATCAGACAATAAGGCTAGTATCTGCAAGCATGATTTACTCGTTATATATGCACAGTTGTTAAAAATTCAGAATGAAAGCTACCTTATTATAATTAGACTAGATGTTTCAGAAACACAGGAGGAGAAGTAATTTTACGAATTTCCAGCCACGTAGCAGGAGTATTTTTATTTTTATTTTTTTGGAGATACTATTTTTGACTGATTATTATTAAAAGAAAGCGATTTAAAAATATATTCGAACTACCCTGAGGCGAATCTTTAAATTTACACTCCAGACGAATGAGTGGCAGTACGACAAAAAATTAGTCGGAAGAAGAAGAAAAAGAGCCAATCAGAGCTCAGAGTTCCGTCTGACTGTCAGCCAATCAGCGCCACAGAGACGAATTTCAAAAAGTCACCCGCCATGATTGTTGTGTTTTTCAGGTAGCTCTGCGTGTCCGTTGTGTCGTCGGGGTCTTTTTTAAGTAGCTGGTCAAAAAAAGTTAGTTTTTTTTCTGTACTTTTATTTTTTTAAAGGAGAAGAACAAGGTAAGATAAATATGACAATATTTGCTATCTGTCCAGTTTAGGTTGTGAGCTACTCGTGAAACAGCTTCAGTTGTGGCTTCTTGTCAACATAGTGAGGAGTTAGCGAGATACTGAACGAGCTTAGGTTGCATCGGTTGAGCTAGTATAGTGTTAAATTAGACTTCTGTACTAATTTTGCTTACTGCATCTTTCACAAGAATCGTATTTAACGACAGCAATTAGTTATTTACAGTCAGTAGACGAAATTAAATTTTAAAATGGTCTTTTATAGACATAGCTTAGCTCAACGCAAACGAGCATGACGTTATGTTAAATGTTGTGTACATTTTTCGGGCTATTTCTCAGACAAAGATATAACTAAACGACGTGTAATGACTCACATTTTCGACTATTTTCACCCTCGCATGTTCTCCTTTTTCCTGAGTTGTGGTTCTAATAACCTTCACGACTTTTTACGTGTTTTTTTTAGTTCAAATACCGTCAACTTGTTAGCTAGCTTAAGTTGTAAACGAGCCAATTCGTCCCCATTTCTGTAATTATGCTGCATTCATATCAAATACATGAGTAAATCTGGACGAAATGAGGAACAACATGTTGTGTTGGCTTGGGGGTGTTCACAGATTATTCATGAGTGGTTCAGTCACACCAGAAAAACAATGAACTGTTTGTGTTGTTTCTGTCACCAAGTGAAACCAGATCTAGTCATTGTGCAGCTCTGATAACACTTCCTGAATGTATTGTATTAGTGTTAATATTGGATATTTTTTTGATGTAACTGCAAACTGGTGAAATCACAGCCTTCTGTCTCACAGTTTGTTGTCATGTGTGTAGTTTATATCACCAGGTTAGTGGTACAAAACATGAAGAAATGTGACTGAAAGTGTGTCAAGTCTAGTCATGTTGGGTTTATGTGGTAAACATTGACAATAACTGTAAGGTAAAGCTGTATTTTTGTCATTTCTATCCACTGTCACCAGATTGAACTGTTGTAGCTGACCACTGAACACAATAGATGTAAATAGGTTTGCCAAATAGCAACTCCAGTTTTTGGTTCTTCTCATTTTTGTTTAGATTCTTTTCACCTTTACTTCTCATTTTACTGGTACATGATGTCTCTCAATAGTTCCAGTAACTTTCATATGCAGTGTACCTATATCAAATGATTTTCTGTTCTTCCAGATCCCTGACCATGGAGTCTAAATTTTCTCACCTGCGACAGCGGGACACTAGTGTGTCGATGCTGAGAGTAAAGATGTCCCGCAGAAGGTCTCAGACCCAGAAGGAAAACCGAGAGCGAGCCGTGAACACACGCAGGCAGCTGGAAAAGCTCCAAGAGCTGGAAATGTCTTCTCTGGATGCCTCCATCGCAGTGGCCAACATGTCGACCGTTCTCGAGAGGACACAGAACAAAGCAAATCCTGCTAAAGGTATGACTTAACTTTGCAATTTCACAGCTAATTGCAATTCCAAAACACAACCCACAGTACATGTATAATAAGGCACTTGTGGTACTGTTTCACATTTGTTTTCAAAGCTTAAAATGGATACTAGCTTCTGTAGTCATCCAGCTAATCTGCCTTTTTCTTTGCTCAAAATTTGTCCTCCGTCCCTCACGTGTGTCTCCACAGTTAAGGCTGGAGAAGAGCGGGTGAAACAGCTTGAGCGCTGGAAAGAGCGAAAGGCCCTTGAGAAAGAGAAGGAAAAGAGAGAAAGGGAGCGTAAAGGTGTATTTAAGACTGGCTTGTATCATGCAAAGGACACCATTATTCCTGTCTCACTGCCTGCTGTCCCAGCGGCCTCAACCAGAGCTAAAGAGGTGAGGGAGGAAACATCAAAACACTTTTTATACTATTCATTACAAAGTTGTCTGTGAATTGCATCTCTTCCCCCACATGAATGGGGGGGGGAAAGATAGGTCTTTGTTTTGAAGTACAGTTGTAATGATGATTTTCTTTTAGAAAAAGGCCAACGTGGCTCTATCTCAGAGTACCAGAGTGACCCGTTCAATGAAACAGCAGCAGCCAGTGCAGAAGGTATTATTTTCTCTCACATTCTTAATACTGTTGTCAAAATTAACTTGCTAATATATACTTTGTTCCATTGTTTTTCTTGTGCCTAAATTTCATCAGCCTCTGAAGCTACAGGATCCAAATACTGTGACAAAAAGAGGTAAATTACTTTGCTGTCCCTTTATTTAAAATACAGCACATGTTCAGCTGCAGCCTAGTGAGTCTTAGGTAATACTTTCTTCTCTTCCTTTAGTACAACCTGCTGTGGAAAGATCAACCAGGACCCGGGTAGCTTCTGTCAAACCTGCAGCTACAACCAAGACCAAAGTTTGTGCAGGTATGTTGTGCATAACTAGACTTTGAGACCAGCTATTGTGCTGGCTTCAGTTATTGCGTTTGTAGATGTCAATGTGTGTCTCTTTGCCATCCCACTATAGTGGACCCTGTCCCACGAGCTCTGTCGACCAGATCGGCCAACAGGCCTCCTGTTCTAGCAGCTCCTGTGATGAAAGACAAAGCGAAGGACAAGCCTGCAGGTACACACAAATCTGTCGTGTGAGCAGTTCTTATGCTGTTTGGAGAAATTTCAGAAAACATGGAGAGAGACAGAGATGTTCTCGGAACTTGGAAAAATGATAAATGTTTCACCTTGCCCTCAGGTGTAAGAACGACAAGGAGCAAACCAAATGGTAAACCTGTGGCTCCCCCATCTGGTGGTGAAAGGAACTGTAAAGGTATCGTCATATACTGACATAGAACCACCCAATTTTAGAGACTGTTGATCTGTTGATCTCCCTCATGAACATGAAAACGAAAACTTGTTTTATTTCCTTTCATAACTCTTATGTATTTCTTCTTTTATTACACAGCAACTGTCGGCAACTCCAGCCACCCTGCTGTCTCAGAGGTGAGCATTTACATGAGTGTTACGCACGATATGCTAAACCTGTAATTAAGTAACTTGGAAATTAATTAGTTTGTTTTTTGTCTCATGCAGGAGCCCAAACTGAAGGAGCCTCAGGTGGAGGAGCCTCAGGTGGAGGAGCCTCAGGTGGAGGAGCCTCAGGTGGAGGAGATTCAGGTGGAGGAGCCTCTGGTGGAGGAGCCTCAGGTGGAGGAGCCAGAGAAGAAGCCTCCCAGCCCAGCACCCTGCTCTGAGGAGGAAGACATGGTGGTGGACGAAGCTCCAGCCGATGCAGCTCCTGCTGTGGATGCCGTTGAGGCTCCGTCCTCTTTGTCTTCATTTGCTCCCAAAGGTTTTGTCTTCCAGGCTCCCGCTGGCTTGTCATCCTTCAAGTTCGATCCTCTCACTCCTCGCTCAGCGGACGCCTTCCTCACACCGAGGTCCGTCTGTTTTATAGTTGTTGTTAGTTTCAGAGCCTTTAGAAATATATGTATAATTAAAATTAGAGTTTGTAACTTAAATGCAGTGATTTGACTCTTTCTGTCCAGCTCCAGCTTCAATCTTCCACCAGCCCCCGTGTTCAGTGTTGAGCCTCAAACTGAGCTGAGCGAACCGTCTCCCCCTAAATCCCCTCGACGCTCCCCTCCTTGTGCGTCTCCACCAGCGGTCCTTCCAACTCCAGGAAGTCCACTGGAATCAAAGCATGATGTACCATACTTCAGGTGGTAGTTTTTAAAATATCTTTCTAGTCATCAATTGTGTTGTTTTAACAAATTAATCATGTAGGCAATTTAAACGTTTGTTTTTTGCCCATTTTTCAGATCGGAAATTGCTAATGAGACAGACAGACTGACGACTCTGTGTGTCCAGTGGGAGGCTAAAGTGGAGGATGAGTCCATCCCAGAAGAGAGTGAGTGTGTCATCTCTACCCTACGCAGAGTGATGTCTTGGATATGGGGTTATATAGAAAGTGATGGTCTTCTAAATTGAGAAAAATGATTTGTTTGTTTAGTGAGGGACCGTATGCGCACAGCGGTTGGCCAAGCAAGGCTGCTGATGAAAGAGCGTTTCAAACAGTTCAGCGGTCTCGTAGACGACTGCGAGTTCAGCCGAGGGGAGAAGGTCACCACCTGCACTGACTTGCAGGGATTCTGGGACATGGTTTATTACCAGGTGAGTACCACGTAAGAGAGGTGGAACATTATTTCCGACAGTAGATAAATGCTGGGAAGATAGCCATACTTTTGCCATGTTTCAGGTTGAGGACGTCAACAAGAAGTTTGATGCTCTTAAAGAAGCAGAGGGTCGAGGTTGGGTGGAGGAGTACAAACCTCCACCACGACAGAGGAAAGCAGTAAAGGTACTTTTTTTTTTCATTAACAATATTGCAACATGTACATTTACAGAATTTGCTGTGTTTTTTTAATCTATTTTTAAACACACTGTAAGGTCACAACAACCCAACCTGACAACACAATGCTGTAAGGCTCTACAGGTCAGCAGGTCTATTTGTTGGTCAGTCAGCTGTCAACCAACCAAATTGTTATTGATTGTTGGTGTTACTTTCATAAGGAGAAAAGCGCTCCTTCAATTGTCTTTCAAGATTAATTCTTTATTTGTGGCAGCACAACTTGGAAACAGCCCCACATTTTCACAACTTTGAACTTGCTCAGTGTAACGGAGACAACTAAGTCTGACTTATTGAAAGTTTATGTTAACTTACCCTCAGTAAATGTTCTGTAAACCAGAAGTAACTGACACCATGTCAAAGAAGTCAGAGTGGCCAAAAACTTGAGTGGAACTTCATATCACAACTCAAAACCAACATGACAGATCATCTGAAAACAGCAGCATACCTTGTCTGTTCTAGTCCTCAATAGTTTTTGTGCTGGTTCACCAGATGATCTAAGTTCTGTTTTCAGAAAACATGACTAAAACATCAGTATGTGCAGTGTATGCTGGTGTGCTTCAAGTCTGTTAGTAGTTCAGTAGAAAATAACCATTTTTGACATATAAGGCTGGCAGGTAGTGTGCACTCAGTTTAATGTAGATAGTCTAGAAATAACATGCTTTTTTTTTTTTCCTTCTCACGTTCAATTAATTGGTTGAGGAGTAGGCACGATTTCAGCCCTGCAGTGCTGTCTCATTTTCATTTCTAGTGGTCATTTCTGTAATCTGCAACAACATGAGCATTTGCATACAAAAGCATCTATTTAGGAAAACAGCCTTTTCTTTTTAAAAGGTTTGTTTAACCATTTACAAAGCATATTGGATGTCTTGTCCTTTTGTCAGAAACCACAAGCTGCACCTGCCAAGGCAACAGGAACCAACGCTGCAGCCAAGTCTCGTCTGGCTGCCGTTAAAGCAGCAATGAAAGCCAAACAGCAGGCAGCTGAGGCGGAGAAAGCAGCCAAAGATGCTGCTAACGCTGAGGACAACCCCGTCCTGAGCTCTCAGGAACCACAAACCCAAGCAATGGCTCAAACACTGGACACAGTGGTCTTCGATGGAGGCTTTTTCCAGGTGGAGAGTCCAGCCAAAGCATCAGGTGGGACAAAATAGCTGCGTGACAAAGGCATTACTTTTTATGTCATGTGTGTCTGTTTGCTTTTCTGCTTTTTCTGGGCTGTTTGAGCTGATTTGGACCAGTAACCATGTTGTGCATGTTGTCATGTGTGTGTAGGTTCAGTTAGGAGATCCAGCCGTCTCAGTGCTGCTGTGCTACCTCAGGCCTCTCCCTGCCCCACGTATCTCTCACCCAGAAGAGCCACTCGACGATCCCTTGCATTGGCTCAGACTCCTGTTCATGCTTCTCCTGCTCAGCCCATCCAAACTCCTGTGCACCTCCGCCTTTCTCTGGAGGAAACCCCAGCACCAAAGTCTCAGCGTGGCACTCCTCAGCTGTCCCAGAGCAGAAGGGACGCTGTGAACACCTCTCTTTGTTTCTCACCTCTCAGGGAAGTGCTTTCAGATGACAACCAGCCTGAAGGAAACTCTGCAAAACAGTCAGAAACAGTCTCCACACAGGAAGACACTGCTTCTGTTCCTGAGCCGGGCATGCCCACACATTTGCTTCCAACTATTGCTGTAGTCGAGGAGAACGACACACCAGCTGAAGCCATCAATGAGGACATCCCTCTTTCTCCAAGGCTTTCCCTCTCTCCATGCAAAACACCTCCTCCCGTCTCCCAAGCTCCTGAGCCTTCTTCAGCTCTGAGTTTCATGCTGACACCTTGTGTAACTCCAGGCCAGCCTCCAATCTCTTCCCCCAACATCATCTCCTCTCCTGCTGTGCAGGGCCCTGTGGAGACCCACCAGTCTGTGTGTCACACACCAGAAAGCTCAATTGTTGAGGTAAACCATTTTCCAGGCTTCACTAATTCAAATCCTAAATTCTCAGCCTCATATGACGGCTGCTTTCTCCAGCTATGCAATGAACAAATGATTCTCTTGTAATTTCAGGAAATTCCTGGGTTAGACTTTGAACGTTACCTCCAGCCTTCCCTGAGAGGCAGCCTGTCACCGAGGGAGACAGTTGCCACGGAGACATCATCACCCATGGCAGTAGATGTAGAGATGGAGAGTCCCAGAGGTGCGACCGAGGACCTGCTTACTCAGCAAGAGCCAGGTATGACTGATGTCCATATGTATGGTGCATGCACACAGACGGTACACTTGGGCTTTATACCTTGACAACACTCATCCATTTTAAAGCTGCAGTAAGCAGGATTGCTGTATTGAAAATCATTTGACGTAAACAAAACTGTTGAAGGAATTTGGGTAACAGAACTTATAAAGGTGCGATTAATAATGTTTTTTTGTTGTTGTTTTTTAAAACAAATTGGCAGTCCTAAAATCTTAGACCTGCATATTGCAGCTTTTCAATAAAACTTTGTGCTTGCCTGTTTGTAGGGGAATAATAACACTGTTACAAAGGGCACCATTAACTGTTTACTCACTTGTGTTCACTCTCACTGTCACCACAGCACTGCCAGCGGTGTCTTCGGTGTTATCTCTTCAGTCACCACAGGTCAAAGTTTTTCCACTTTTCATTCCTTTACTTTCAGTGATTGACTTCCATGTGGATCAATTAACTGGGCTCCTAATCATTGCTTTTGTTTCTATCACTGCTCAATATTCTTACTGAATTTTCTGTCATTTTAGGTCCAGACAGCAGAGTCTGCCCTGCTTCTCTTCACCCCGGACATGAAGGACAGGATACGCCAGTCCGTCTGTCCGAGTGACCTCATGGTCTTCACCCCTCCTAACATGTAGCCCAGAGATTGTTTCTAAAATGTTTTAAAATGTTGATGTATATTTACAACCATTGTTACTCCTTTTAAAAATATGAATCATTTTTACTTTAATTGTAGATTACAAGAAAATAGTTTTGCCTAACAAAAAATTCTTATTAAAGTTCTAGTCACAACCAGGAAATGGCCAATGCTCTTCATTTACACTCCATAACAAATCAGTAATGCACTCATTGCCTTTATTTACTTTGTGTTGTTTATTGTTTTGCTTGTTTTTAGACTGTGGGGATAGTACAGGTTCAGAACAGTCAGTTTCATCTTGTGATCAAGTTTCTCTGCTGCTCTTCATGCTGTGTCATTCAACTTTCTTCTATTGCCCTTTTTCTCTGCAACACAACACAGTACAACACTGAGCACTTCGACAGTTCATGGCATTAAAATCTAAAAATCTGTAAAGGAGCAGCAGAGGAATGATTTGAGAGGTGGGTGGAGATGGTCCACATCCAAGATGAAACTTAATAAGTGGGAGAGCAATGCCATGCTGGAACTGTTTATGCCAAGTATGGCTTGAATTCATAATACGAATTTTAGTCATGAGTCAAATCCAAATATTTCTACAAGGGTCAATACATGTTTTGTTTTGTTTTTTAAAATCTGAACATTGTTCCATGTGAACATATAAAAATTGATCCACCTACACTACTAAGGCTTTTAGCTGTGCCGACTGTGAGAAGAGCTTCAAATTCCAGTCCCTTCTGACTAAGCCACGCCTTCCTCACTGACCTAATGACAAACCTTAGCAAGGACTTTGTATAAATATCTTACCTGGCTCTTTGTTAGGCCAGAGTGTTGTGTCTCAGGGCATCCTGGCGGAGTTTCTCCTCAGTGTTTCTGGTCACTAACTGGTGATGGTCAAACGCTGGGAAGAAGATGTGGTTAAAGAACTGATGAACCGCCTGGGTCCTGAGCTCTACTTTATGGTCTTTGGTCTCCATTACACTGGTTTGCACATCGTTTCCTTCACTACGCTCTTCTCTGTGCTCTAAAGGGAATATAAGAAATGTTGGAAAAAAAACAAATTAGACAAAAAAATTGTGGTTTATTGAGTCAAAACATTATTTCTGAGGATTATGCTGTTCTAGCCAACCCTATATGTCTCAGATGTCAGGGTTCCCATAGGTTGCATAGTAAATCACTGGGGTGGTTACACATTGAAGCTTTTTTTGCATTTTAAATTTGTGTCCTATGCAGAATGCACTTGCTAAACATAATGTATGATAAGTCTGTCAGTCTATACAATGTGTGCTTATTCAGTAGGCATGGCAGTATGTTTAGGGTGAGTCTAGCAAATGTAATATCTTTTAACTTTCTTAACACTGCTATATACTAGACGGCGCTGACTCAAGTCCTTTTTCACACTTCAATTTACACATACGGACACTCTGTATATCAGAGAACATATTGCACATTGATATATTTGAAAGTAACAAACCAAACCTGCAGACGAAGGTGTCTCATTGATGTTTGTCTTGATATCTCCACTCTCCACATCCTGAGCAGTGAAATCCTCTGACTATGATAAAACATGATTGTATGTTATTATTGATTTCAGCAAAGTCATAAATGCAAGTTCATGGTATATTTTATTAATACTAAGAGCACTACAGGACATGTCTTTCATCTTTATAAATAAAGTTATGTAATCTTTAAAGAGATGTTGATGTTGCATGTGGAATAATTTCATAAAAATCATCAATTTCTGTTTTTTGACTAAAACATTTTAAAACCACCACAACTTCTAAAAATAACAAAAACTATGTGGATAAAGAGCTACAAGCTTTACACAGAATTTGATGCACATGTCATCAGAGTTTAGAGACATGATCTGACCGATAGAGAAGGACTGTTTATGGTCTGCATCATCTCCTCGCTGGCCTCCCCCTCAGGTACATCCCTCCTGGCCTCAGAGTCACACCCTGACAGGGGTCTCCTGCCCTCCTCCAGAACCTCAGAAGTCTGCTGACATTTCACTTCTGCACAGCCTAGAAGTACCTCAAAAAACTCCAGGAATGTAATCTGTAACAAACCGAGTGAGACAACATTAGTGACACAGAGAAGGGGAAGGAATACTCAAAGCACAGTAGATGGATGAATTTGAATCTTTCATCCAGCACTGACAAATGAGTTGACTGGTGTGAACGTCGCAGTCAGACCTGCAGATCTAGACAGGAGGACCGGTTGCTGGGGTCGCAGCTCTCTGCAGTGATGATGTCCATTAACTTCACTGTGGTCAGCTTATGGTCCAGCAGTTGGAGATCCTGTCAAGGGTTAAAGAACATTAATCAGAACAGTATCGTCAGCATTTTTTTTGGGTGACATGTTGGTTGGTGATCGATGAGAAGCAGGAACTTCAACCTGCTGTCTGTTGCAGCTGTGAGGGAACGTCACAGTCACAGCAGCTTAGCTCTGGACATAAATCATATTTAAATTTATTTGCTGGCCTTGTCACAATCCTCTATCTATCCTTCAAATTCATGAAAAAAATCATAACAAACTTGAATGTGGGCAATAGTATCTAACAGTAATTCAGGATCATTCAAAACTGGGCAGTTCTTTGCTTGTGTTGTAGGAATATGCAACCGATTTATTACATATACTGGACTTACATAATGGACTAGATTTGAGCCATACCTGCGAGACTCAGTTTCAATATCGCAGCTGTGTCATAGCCCTCATATGGCCTGAATAGCTGTAGCTAAATATAGACCAATTTTAGTTTACTTCTTCTACTAATTTCATGATCAATACATCAAACAAACAACTGTAAATATCTAAGATTCACAACTGAAGTCAATATATTGTGTTAAAATGATTTCAATTACCACCTCTCAGTAATTACAGCGAGGCCTAGGCTAGATCTAGTGCATTTTAGAACAAACATTATTACATGTGTATTACAAAAACAACTATAAATTTCCAGAAATGCACAATATAAAACTTTAAGGTTGCAGGTTCAATACCTGTTCAGTTCCAGTGTTTCTAGGTTGAAAGAATGGCTAAGTGTGACCTAGACCTCTACTCAACTTTCACTTTTAAACTTAACTCAGTTTTCGCTGAGATGACTATGTCACGTTCACACATTTTTTATTTGTTAATAAATGATTCAGTAGAGGTAGGCTAGTTGCTCTTCGTGTTACAGTGAGTTGCACCTTGAACATCCACAGCAGGTGTCGGCAGGTCATGGTCAGGTCATCTTTGGAGGCTGTGCTGACCCTGCAGTAAGCCTGGTAGACCTCCCAGCACCTCTTCACATACTTCATAGCCACCACGGCAAGGTCTGGCTGCCTAAACAAAAAGCCTGGATCAACACAGTGAAAGATATTAAACATAGCCAATACTGCATAACAAAGAGCGCAGCAAGGAGCGTAACTGTGTCCTCTCTGACAAAACATGTAGAAAACGGCCTCCTAGACTGAAATGTGTGCAGCAGTTGTTGTTTTTTTTTTTATCTCTAATTTGCTATTTTCAGCCCTGTTTTGCACAAAGTCTTACATTAATAAGGACCACCTAACTCAAAGAAATGTATTACTACATCTGCAGTAATTTGTAGTTGGCGGCATGGCTTTGTTCTGGTACCTTCCTGCCCTTCTACGAGCTCCATATAGCAGAAAGCCAGACATGGCATGGAATTCTATGTACGTGATTTGAGAATTGAATGAATAAATGGGAATCAGCCAAACCATCAGCTGCGGTACATTGGCATTAAGATCAAAATATATCCGGTGGCAGCACCTTTTACATTCTTTGCATTGGGAAGGATGTCATCTGTCATCATTTTGGATAAGCAGGAAGCCAGAAGGTTCTTTTGTGACCTGTAAATAGAGAAGAAATTATGTGTCATTACCTAAAATGAGGTATTAAGGATAGAAAAGTCCATCCATCCATTATCTATACACCACTTAATCCTCACTAGGATCGTGGGGGGCTGGAGTCTATCCCAGCTGACTTAGTGTGAAGGCAGGGGACACCCTGGACAGGTCACCAGTCTATCACAGGGCTACACTTAGAGACAAACAACCAAGCACACTCACATTCACACCTACAGAAAATTTAGAACCGCCAATTAACCTCAACATGTTTTTGGACTGTGTGGGAGGAAGCTGGAGAACCCTATCCAGTTATTCTGTGTGAACTTATTGTTTTTTTTAATGGTAAACATGACACTTAAATGTCACTCTGGTTAATTTATGGTTTGAGAAATTTTCCTTGACCTCTTCAGCTTCACATGGCTTTTAAATCTACTGGTGATTATGTGTTGGAACAAGTTTTCTTCCTTACATCATGTCTTTATTGTAGATGTGGTAGGCCGTGATCACTAGACATCTGAGGAGCTTCCAAAGAAGAATGGGAGTGAAAGGAGAGTGAATCTCGGCTGAACTGGCATCATCTGAAACACGGAGAGGGAAAAGCATCAGACAACAGCATCAAAGCTTTAAAAAATGTAGGTTGTTATGATGCTCTCATTGTCTTGTCCTGCCTATAGAAAGATGTTGAGCAGCAGTCGCTCTCACCTCTGATGACATGGTCTATCTGTGTCAGAGTAATGCCGTGGTGGTGGATGTTACAGTCTTTGAGCAGGCGCCAGAGCTGCAGGCGGGACAGCAGGAAGGTGTTATCCGGGGAGCAGACACAGCCAAGTCTGCTGTAGAAGCTGTAGATAGACCTCAGCTGTATGTCTTGCCTCAGCACCACAAACTCCACCTGTCGCACATGAGCCACATTATCAGGAAAAGGCTAGAAAATGAAGGTTGTGAGAAAAAGACTGTAAGTGTGTGGCGAGGCCAGACCTGTTTGCGCTCAGTGTCACGCTTTCTTTCAGGGACTTTCTCCAGAAGACATTCAATGTTCAGAGCCATGTCTGGTCCTAGTACAGAGTCACTGTCTGACAGTGGGAAAGCACCTGTAACGAGATACAAAAAGGATCTTAATATTGTTAATGATCGCCTAAAGTATCTTGAATACACCAGCAAATAGGTTTTTTTTTACCAAGAGGAGTAGGAGCTCTCAGGCTGGGTGTCATCATCTGATCATCCACAAACTCTCCTTCAAATACACGCCCATCCGTGAAAGTGAATTTGCCCTTGGAACCACATAAAACAGACTTCTTTTTAGAATTTCTTGCAATAATGTATGTATTGCATCAAGACTAGGATCACGACAAGTGTGTTAAGTAAGAAAGTGAAAAATTGATAGTTTATCTGAATGTAAACTTTTTCTGCGGCACAGTTTCTCAACACAGATAAAGTAGAGGGGTTACTTTGAAATAGGTTATAAACCTCAGTGTGAATTCACAGTTGCTATGAAGTTCATCTTTTGCTATTTCTAATGCACTTTTAATACAATATTGACACTCAATTTGGCATCAACTTAAAGTGGCTTTAGCTCAGAAATACACACATAATTAAGGTCTTGCCAGAGAAGAAATCAGCAAAAGATTTTAGGAAAATGCTGGAAACATATTAACGTTTCCACTGTGTATTGTAACTACCTGAGGCATGCAAAGGATGCTATGGGGGTCAAGCAAAATACCACTACAAGCTGCAGCAGACTGGATGGAAATATCTTGAAATATAATAACAGTGTTCTTTTATGAAGCAGTGAGCATGAAAATTGGAAATAATGAGCTCATGTTTGTGGGGACATATCAAAAAGAGAAAAAGTTAGATTTTTCCTGCTTGTGGTAGGATTCAGCTAACATCTCAAAGTAAGATGCAGCTTTTGCTTTTAGCCACTGAGACATAACATCTGATTTTTAAAATGGTAAGTGTAAGCTCCTTAAGTGCAAACTACATTTAAAATAGAGTTAAATGGGTGGTATTTTCTTAGTCCATTTTCTTCAAGCACTACCAAATGTGTTTGTGTATAATATATAATGGTAATGTTGTATAATTGATTAACCTGCCCGTGTTTCTTATTGTTCCTCCATTCTCCTTCGTAGACCGCACCACTAGCATAGTGAAAGGTTCCCTGTCCGTGCCTCTGGCCCTGTACAAAATCGCCCTTGTAATGATTGCTCTGGAAATACTGGGATCCGTCCACTCGCCTCAGGATCCAGACATGTGTGCCTCGGCCATGCTGCCAGAGAAGAGAGCTCATGTGATTCGTAAATCTGATATAACTGAATAAGAGAAGTCACTTTCCTGGATAATGTGCTATGTGATGGTGATACCTGGACTCCATCCTGCCATGTTCCGACATATTCCTGTCCTTGTTTCAGCCACTTCATCGTTCCCTCTCCATGTCTCATGTTGTTCTTCCACTCACCAGAGTAAATGTTACCAGAGGGGTAGCTGTTAAGAAAAATATATTATCTTTAGGTAGTTTAAATGGAGCTCAGGCTCTGGATCAGAAGGTGTATGTAGTCCATACATACCATCTCACTCCCCATCCTTCTCTGTTGTTCTTCATCCACTCTCCTTTGTACCAAGAGGTCTTATCCTCATTGTAATACACTGTACCCTAACAAGACAAGAACAATTAAAAAAAGAGACCACTACATTTCTAAAAAATACTAATGAGAATGGTTTGTATACCTTTCCATGTCTCTCGCCCTGATACCACTGCCCTTTGTAGGACAGATAGTTTTTTGTGCATTTGTAGGTTCCACTCCCATGTCGTATGCCGCTGTAGACTTCTCCTTCATAACTGTTGCCATCTGGCCAGGTGTAGACGCCCCGGCCCATGGGCTTGTTGCACACAAATTCTCCCTGTTGTATAAGAAACATTCACTTCAACATATTTCCGAGAACATTTACTCACCCTGACAGACATCTTATTTTATCATTCTTTATCAGATATATTTCCAAACTTCTTACCGCCCACCAGATAATAAAATATGTCTTGTGAGTGTCAAATTACATCAAGTGAAGATCATTTTGTTTCTGTGGTGCTTTTCTCTGGAACAGAGTTTTTTTACAAAGTTTTTATTAGGGTCCGAGCACCCA